AAAAAGGGGGGGGGGGTAACGGCGGCTTGCCAGATTATCAAAAGGGGTAATGGAGTACCCGAACTTGAGAACTACTGCCATAGCAGATCGAAAGTGGGATGTGTTGATACCATTTTTTTTCGAAATTGGATTACAAAATTCGTTCTGGATGTAAGAACATAAATTGTTGAAAGTATATGACGGCTGTGGAAGTAATAGTTCGTTTCAGACGGCTATACCACCTCAGAAGTGCTGATGAAATGGAATCATCCGCTAGCCGTTCACGGCGTCGATAGAGCTGATGTGCCTCAATTCATAATTCTTGGATTTCAGACAGAAGATAGCATTGTTAGAACGGCCACAGGTATGTTATCTATTCATAATGTATGTGGACACAATTCTACATAATACGTTGCAAGCATGAATATAATAAGCTTGTTTTGTAAGCTCGAAGAGTGAAATATATTTTTTTTTTGCATTTCAACTAGTCACTTCCTTTATGAGCCCATCATACATTTCGATGTTCCTTAGTGCTTCACGTACTCCTCTCACTTTAGTCGTTTCACCAGGAATAAACTATGAACGAATAGTTTTTCATTCCCAAGAATTAATTTTCTATCTGAAAAGATAACAACAAATTGTTTGATTTGGAAAGCTTGTTACATATAGGAAGCTTAAGGGTATAAACTAAACTTATCTTTTTCAAGGTGCGTACCAGAGGTTATCATTAGTATTTCAACTGAAGCGAAGTGTTGGGTATTTCATCTTTCAAACATACTTGCCTTGTATTCTTATTGTGATGTTATCATGGGTTAGTTTTTGGATCAATCATGAAGCAACATCGGCCAGAGTCGCACTCGGTTCGTTCACTGAAGAAAATTTTATTTGTCATGAAGTTTTGTTCGCGTACAATCTTTCGAAGTTCGCCACGTAGCGATTCAGTTTTTGACCGCAGATCACAATGGGACTTCACCAATCATCTGCTCACTGATACTTCTTAAGGCATAACAACAGTCCTTACAATGACAACAATAAGCACTGGTGTTCGTCAGTCATTACCTCGCATAAGCTACGTGAAGAGTATCGATATTTATCTGGTGAGATTTCTGAGTTTTCCATGCATAATTTCTCCTAAAACCACGCATTTGGTCACAGTTGATAATGAACTTCAGATGATCGCCTTCATGGGAAGAATCATTTCATGCAAGATGATCAAGTTTGTTTGGGAAGTAAATCAATGACAGGGAGAATTTTGGGGGAAGCGATATTAATAGGTTTGAGGGATCCTCAGAGTATCGTTGACGGAGAATTAAAACTGATCGGTAGGAGCTGATGAAATGAACGGAATTGCAGGTGATGTGTTTTGTGTTCGTGTTCGCCGCATTACTCGAATATGCAGCCGTCAATTATTCGTATTGGGGTGGTCGTGCAAGGCAACACGAGATAGCCGAATGGCCCGTGAACGGCAGCAGGAAGACGTATCGTGACAAAGAGGATACCGAAGGAGCGGTCAATATCAGAGACTGGGGAGTACCACGCTCACTGATTGAGGTATCTATTCAATCTTTTCTAGACACAGAGACGGTTTGCAGTCAAATCAAATTTCATCGAATCGTGAGGTTCGTCCATCGGAAATATTAAGAATTGCTCAGAATTGAAGTGAAACTCCAACAGAGTCACTCATGAATTTGATATTATGAGTTCATATCGATCTAGCAATCGTTGATGTTGATCGCAATTTTCGGAGGATGATAGCGAAGAAACGATATCCAAGCAGTTGTCAAGACCAGTTATTCATGAAGAACTATCCTCATCACCAATACCCTCACTACGAACAACAAAACGCACGTCCGAGCCTGATACACCAGTTTATCCACGCTGCAGTGTGCCGCAACAATCTAACCACAGCCGAATGCGATTACGACCTAACAGTAGCAGGTTGCCATCGCGTGTTTGATTATGAATTACCAAACAGTATTTTCGGGCATGTTTTCATGAAGGAGTCGTTCAAATGAGTCGGAATATTCCCATGGTAATTTCCCTTTTGGAAATTATGGAAAGGATCTCACTCGTTTCATTCATCCAAAAATTCTTGTAATGCGTTTCCTAGAAATACAACAACTTCATTTCTGATGAAAACGCATTGTCTTGCCTTAAGCTTACATTAGCTATGCACAAGGCGATCTCTAGAGTGAATTTCTATCGGCTTTTGCATCAACCTAAAATTAAATTCAGGCCGAAGCGTCGCTACATCGCAGTCGGCAAACCGCGGAGCCAAAGTCTAAAGATGAGCATTCATCATTTCAGTCAGAAGGCACGCGCCGCATTTCCATCGTTTCATGTCCATGATGTGAATGTTATCGATAAAAATTCACGTGTCATCTTCCCAGTGTCCTTCATTCTGTTCAAGTCGGTTTTGCCATAGCATCAAAGGCATTTTGCTCTTCACTCTTACAATCAACATATTCTTCAGCTTACTTGTATTGAACACCACTTTTGTCTTTGGTAATTACGACAACTTTCAGCGTGTTCTATTGGGGATATTATACGATGTTACAATGAACCGCGAAGCATCAGTGAGATAATCAGAATCGATTAATGTATTATGTTTGTGTTGAATGCCTTCTTTGGTGCAATTGAATTCGTGCTGAAATTTGAACTCGAATAAAATATTTCCAATGAATATATTTCGAATACTGATAAATCTGGTTGTGAATATCGATAACAGGTCTGAAGTTGAATGAGATAAAGCTATAAACAGTCGCACGGACGGTAAGAGACACATCAGAATTTTTGGAACAGATCGAGGCGATAAAATTTTGTGAGGAGAGAAACCACTTGAACGGTAAGACCTGAGAACACGAAAAGACTTAATATGCGGTCTTTCAGAGATTGCATTATATCAGAAGCAGTTTCAGAAGATCGTATACGTGGTCGAAGGATAATGCCTAATTGTTGAAATACAGCTAAATTTTTGATATCATATGATGTAGCTGAACGACCTCAGTAGATCGTCAAGCTCATNCAAAAAGTTATTTAAAAGGCTTGCTCACGAGATCAATGATTTTCCAATGACATCAGATTCTTTAGTAACAACGCGAAGCACATCTTTGTTGACAGGAAATGCCGAGTTCTTAAAATATTCTCAAACATCTTAAAATAAGCTGCGAAAATTTTCGCATATTCAGACTGATATAAAATGGCTGAAGGTGCGAAGAACTTCATTTCGATTAGATCATCGCCCAAGTTCGGCTTTTTCTCAATTTCCGGCGTTTACTACTGCTAGGTTAGCTCTTTTCCCCATGGCAAAAACTTGCTGTGAGTGTCGAGCAAGATTTGGGATGTGTCTGATTAGAAAAGATCCTGTATTGATCATGAAAATATAGACTTGTATAGGCTCATATACAGAATCATTCCGTTCCTTCAAATTGCTATCATTTTAAGTTTTCAATGGAATACTCGAAGTGTTTGGAATGGAATTGCACACTCCATTTTTGTTGCAAAAAATCGTTATTTCGAACTTGAAAATATAAGTCACATCGAAT